TCCAGCCACACCAACCTTTTGCTTCTTATTCTGTTTACCTTGTTTGTTGTCCAAACTCAGGGCTTTTTTGTAGCAGGAACTCCTTTGCATGTTAGGCCACACACCCCTAATGTAGCCTGGGTGTGGCCAACTTGGAAGCCAGTCGGAACTCCGTTCCTGTGAGTTCCTGCCCAAAAATAGCCCTGTTATATATATCTATATATATAGATATATATCTGTCTCTGTGTGTGTGTGTAAGAGAGAAATGTTTCTCCAAGCAGTTTCTAGCAGAGATTAGAAAGTCCCAGGTTAATCCTTGGCATTTTCCATGGAAGTGTCTTGTGCACCAGGTGTTGGGCATGACTTTTCTGTGCCTAAGTCCTTGGAGAGCTCCTGCCATGCGGAGCAGGGAACCCTTCCCTAGACGCACCAGCAATCTCACTTGGTAGAAGGCCGCTGTGCATGTTTGTGCGGAGGGCTGGCATCTACAAGGTCCCAGGCATTCCCACTTAAATGGAGCGTGAACAGCCGGACTGGGGAAGATCCCTGCCTGAGACCCTGGATTGCTTGCTTGCTGGGAGAGCAGCTAGAAAGCTGTTCTTTGTTTTGTTGGAAATAAAGCAGCCACTATCCTATGGGCCATGATAAGTGGCTTGCTTTGCTGTTGGTGTTGGAGCAGGACTGGCAAGACCCTCATTCATATCACACAGCCTAGCCGACTTAAAGTGGCCAACACCAGCAAAGGAAATCCCTGGAGATTTGGGGGTGGAGCCAGGAGAGGGATCTCAGCAGGGGATAATCCCATCCAGCCCACCTTCCAAAGGAGCCATTTCCTCCAGGGAAACTGATCTCTGCCTCCTGGAGATCAGTTGTGATTCCGGGAGAGCTCCAGGCCCCACCTGGAGGGTGGCAGTCGCAGGACTGGCTGACCCCCTGCAGTCTCCCAAAGAGAAGGAAGATGAGGGGCCCCTGGACCACAACCCCATCCGCATCCTGGGTGGCGACAGCAGCCCTCCGTTTGTTCCCAAAACATGTACATCTTTGCTTTTTGTGGCTTCTGCCATGGTGTGGGAGGTACTACTACAATGGAATTATAAAGCAGCTTCACACTGAGCCAGACCTTACAGCAGAGCAGTGGTTACTGTGCTCTGGCTGGTAGCAGCACCCTGGGCTCATCCCCAGAGAGAGGGCTTTCCTGGAGCTGGAGATGTCAGGGAAGGGAGTTCCTCCTGTACCCAAAGCAGAGGCTCTGGTCACCAGCTCATGGTCAACTGCTTCCCAGGGAGCGGGTCAGTTGGTGTGTCTCTTCTGGGGCAAAGCAGAAGGAGGAGTCTGATCTGATGCTCGCTTGATAAGTTGCAAAGTCAAGGCAAAAGGCACAGATTGTAACTTTTAAAGAAGACGTTACACTGAAAAAAAAAGTTTTATAATGCTGTTCTGCTCTGCATGCAGAAGGTCCTAGGTTCAGTCTTTGACACCTCCAGTTAGAAGAGAGAAGAAGAAGAGAAGAAGAGATTGGATTTATACCCCGCCCTTCACTTGGAGTCTCAGAGCGGCTTACAAACTCCTTTCCCTTCCCCTCCCCTCCCCACAACAGACACCCTGTGAGGTGGGCGGGGCTGAGAGAACTCTGACACAAACTGCTCTTTTTCAAGAACAGCTGTGCCAGAGCTTGTGACTGACCCAAGGTCACACCAGCAGGTGCAAGTGGAGGAGTGGGGAATCAAACCCGGTTCTCCCAGATTAGAGTCCGCACGCTTAACCACTACACCAAACTGGCTCTCAGGTGATGTGAGAAGGATCAGGTGATGTGAGAGACCTCTGCCTGAGCCCCCCCCCGGGGGAGCCACTGCCAGTCCAAGAGTCTGGGTTCAGTCTAGGGCAGCTCCATATGTTCAGGCATTTAATAAGTTGTCCCCCAAAAATTTTAAATACACACACACACCCAATTTTCTCTTAAATGTCAACATTTTCCAGTCATCTCCAGCAAATTGGGCGAGTATTTAACAAACGCACATCCATATTTTTACGTTGATAATCTTTGACGAGTGGGTTCCTGGGAATGCTAAATTGCCTTTGGGTCCACCTACCTGATGAGATTCTGTGATTTAGACGCATTGTGACCAACGTTCCCTCTAAGCTGCGGAGTCTTGTGAGCAAAAATTCTACTTGGTGAGCTACCGGCATTAAAGTTGTGAGCGAGCGATTTGGCTACTGCATAAGTTAGTTTGCTCTGGAGCCCTCCTTCCTGAGCTCAGACAAAAATGTGTGAGCCGGAGGCTAAAAAACTGTGAGCCAGCTCACATTACCTCAGCTTAGAGGGAACACTGATTGTGACTGCAGGGAGCGTGGATTGGGGCCCTGGCACTGGAAAGAGAAGGCTTGACTTCCCCCTGCATTGATTTCCGGGCTGGAGCTTTGGCAGAGAAGAACATTCCCATATCTTTGTTGTCCTCTCTGCCCGTCCCTGATGCTTTTTGCAGCTAAATACATGTACGTGGATCTGATAATTTATTTTTTATTTTGAACACTTTTATTCCATCCAGTGTACTTCCTTCTTCCTTCCTTTGCATTATCCTCAGAACAATGACCCTGCGAGGTAGGTTAGGCTAAGGCAGGGCTCTTTTTGTAGAAAAAGCCCAGCAGGAACTCATTAGCATAATAGGCCACACCCAACAGCAGAAACTCATTAGCATATTGGGCCACACCCCTGACAGCACAGCTCATTAGCACATTAGGCCGCACCCCCCATGTTCCCAGAAGTGTGGTTATCCAGCCACACCCACCTTTTGCTTGTTATTCTGTTTACCTTGTTTGTGGTCAAAACCCAGGGCTTTTTTTTGTAGCAGGAACTCCTTTGCATGTTAGGCCACACACCCCTAATGTAGCCAATCCTAATGAGTTCCTGCTGTTGGGTGTGGCCTATTATGCTAATGAGTTCCTGCTGGGCGTGGCCAACTCGGGAGCCAGACGGAACTCCGTTCCTGTGCGTTCCTGCCCAAAAAAGCCCTGGCTAAGAGCATGACTAGCAAATGGTCACCCAGTGAGCTTCCCATGACAGAGGGTGGGGAGTGAAAGCTTGGGACCCTCCCAGATCCTGGATCCCCTGGGTCACTTTCGCCACAAGACTGGCCCAGAGACACTGTGTGTTGAAGGCAATAAAGAAATAGCATGGAGCTAGTAATGGCGTGGCATTGAGGGCTAGTCGCTCTCCGGCTGAGGGTTGCAGGGACACAAGCCTTAGCCTTTTTTCCTTGACATGCTAGCTTTCTAGGAACCGGAAATGTCATTGTGTGGATGAATGTTCAGACAGGTGAGTCCTGAACTGCAATATGAACATTTCCTCCACAGAGAAAACTAGCATCTCAGGGAGTGTGGTCCTGGACAAGTTTTCTCCCTGACTTACTAGTTTTCTATGTGGCAGGGAATGGTGTGACTGAAGAATATTCCATCCTACAAGTCCCCACTTGAAAAACATAAAGCCTATACACAGATTGGCCACTTCAGAGAAAGCTATATCAATAGAGTGATTAACACTTGGAATTCACTGCCACAGGAAGTGGTGGCGGCTACAAGCATGGACGGCTTCAAAAGGGAATTAGATAAGCATATGGAGCAGAGGTCCATCAGTGGCTATTAGCCACGAGGTATAGATAGGGACTCTGGGGCAAGTGATACTCTGACATCTTGGTGCTTGGGGGGGGCTCAACAGTGGGAGGACTTCTAATGTCCTGGCCCCACTGGTGGACCTCCTGATGGCACTGGTATTTCTGGCCACTGTGTGATACAGAGTGTTGGACTGGATGGGCCTTTGGCCTGATCCAACATTGGCATCTCTTATGTTCTTATGTTAATATTTTCAGCCCACACACATGTTCTCAAATAGGTGGGGGGTTGAAACCTGACTCCGGGCTTCTTAAATTCCTCGCAAAATGCGCGTTGTTTTTTAAAGTCATGCCCAGATGCACAGGAAGACACCCCCCCCCCCCCCCCCCCCCTTAGCGCCCCTTATCGGTGGTTCCCGGGAGTTTTCCTCCCCGGCTCCCGGGTTCAGCCACCGTCCTGGCGACGACCGCCCCCTAGCGACGAGTGCGAAACCCAACCCTCCCCGGAGAAGCCCGGTTGCGATGGTTCGCGGCGGGCGTCTCGGTCGTGACACGTGTTGCGCCGGACAAACCACCTCGCTATTGACGCCGGTGGCCGTTTTTACGCAGCGGGCTGCGTGCGGAAGGTGGCTGCGCGCCGGCCCTCGCCGTGCAATGCCGGGAGCCAAGCGGGGGGGCTCGGCGAGAGCGGGCCGTCGCAAGGGGGGCTGCAGAGCCTTGCAGTAGAAGCCCGCAAAATGCGCGGAGGGCTGCGAGCGTCCCCGCTGCCCCCCGGACCTCGCCAGGCGGTGTGAGCGAGCCCGCCTCGCCGGGGGATCTCGGAGAAAGGCACGGCCGGCCAGTCAATCAGCCAGGCAGTCCTCATTGAGCAAGCCGGGCACGTCGGAGCTCCCCACTGGGGAGGCAAAGTGGAGACCGGCGCCATACCCAGGCTGAGCAGCCGGGAGGGACGGATGCGAGAGACCCGGGGAAGATGGCGTATATCCAGGTAGGGCCGGGCAGCCCGGGGGGGGGGGGGGGGGGGGGGAAGGAAAGCGGCCCCGGGCTGTGCCTGGAGGTGCCTGACTCTGTGCCCGGCTTCTCCCTCCAGCAAGAAACTTAGGCGAGCAGAGTTGAGCGGCTTGACTTTACTCCCTGGTGCAAGGAGATCCAACCTGTAGCATCGTCCCTCCTCTCCAGTGGGCCGGGCGCGATTGGGTTTTCGCTTTAATTATTGACATCGCCCTCTTATTGACTCGCCTCGGTTTGTTGTTTTTGCCGGCGAGCGCCTCGTGGGTTAATGGCCTCGCCGCCCAAAATGGGCTGGGAAGAAATTGGATCTCTGTGTCATTGTAGCGAAAGTCAGCGGTGTGCGCGGGAGAAAACGGGAGAGGTTTGCAGGAGGCGTGTAAACAACTATTTGGCATGCACAGGGCGTGGCCGGGGAGGGGAGGGGAGGGGTGGGGTTTTTTTGCGGGTCTTTCCAGTCGGTGTTGGTGATTCTGTGGGCTGTGTGTGGCCCCCAACCCCGGATGTGAACATCTAGGAGGGTAAGCATGCGTGTGTGCAGAAATCTCCATGAAAGGGAAATCAGAAACACTAAAGAGCGCAGGATTTGCACTCAAGGCTCTAAGAAAAGGGATGGACAGTTTTGCAGGAGATGCTTTGGCAAGTTGTCGTTCTCTCTCTCTCTCTCTCTCTCTCTCTCTCTCTCTCTCTCTCTCTCTCTCTCTCTCTCCCTTTGCCCCATTATGTGTGGCAAGTGTTGACAGTGACCACCTATGGGCTAGAATGATGAGAGGACTTCGGTGCATGTAACAGACCTCAAGCCTATGCATGACTTTTGAGGGAACGTAGAGGAGGCAAGGCCCATCTAGTCCAGCATCCTGTGTCTCACATTGGCCAGCCAGAATGCCACTGAGAAAAGCCTCAAGCTTTTTTCCAAGGCAATATCAGTAACTGTTAATTTAAGATGCACGGCCCTTGAGCATGGAGATGCTGTTGGGTCATCAAGGCCAACGGCTGTCGAGAGACCTCTTCTATGAATTGATGGAATCCCCTTCTTAGGCCAGTGCTCAGCCTAGTAGTTGTCACTGTATCCTGTGGCGGTGAGTTCCATAAGTTACTTACGTACAGAACAAATTGTAGTAATAAGTATGGGTTGGTTATAAATTTAAGATGGTCTTGTAGGATAGGTTGCTATTACTGCCATTTAGCAAACTGGAGGCAGAGCGAGAGAGTTAGCAAAGTTCGTAGCAAAGGAATGATTCCGACTGAGCTCCGGTTCCCCAGAGGCCTCGTCAGAGTCCCGCAACTTCTTCTCAGCCCCACCACCGGCCCTGTTCTGCTGACGGCTGCCGCCATTGCACAGGGTCCAGCAGCTGCCTTTTGTAATTAAAAAGCCAAACAACGTCTAGATTCAAAGCGACTTAACATTACTGATAATTGGCATGTTGGTTAATAACGTTTCTGCAGCCCTGACAGGAGTCTTCTGGGAGGGAGCGGCCCACGCGCGGGAGGGCTCCCGGCCAGTCACAGAAGCAGCCTGCAGCATAAACCTGTCCATGGCTGGCACTTGGGTTCCTGGCACCTGTTCCCCTCCATCCTTTCCCTTTCTGTACAGCCTCTCAAAGAAGCCCTTTGCCTGCCATTCCCTTCGCATACTGGTGATTCTAGCATCCAGCCTACTCCTCCGGTGTACCTTGACGTAAAGATTTCTGTTTTTAAACAGCTGGTTCCACACTGAGCTCTGCAGAACCCCGTCAGAGAGGCTCTGCTGGCTGGATCAGGATGGATCCTGGCCTACTGGCCTCCGAAAGCCGTAGCCAGGAGCTGACCTTCAAGCAGTCATGACTCATGCACATTTAAAGATTGCGAGATCAAAATTTCAGACTCGGCAGATGTTACAACCCAGACGATGCTTGGAACTCCTGGTAGCGTAACCAGATGAATCACACACAAATCCCCCCTAGACTCCTGTTCAGAATTTATCTGTCCTATCTTCCTATCACATGTCTAGTCCTCCAAGGATCTTAGGCATACCTTCTCCATTTTGCCTTCACAACAACCCTGTGAGGTAGGTTAGGCTGACAGAGAGAGAGAGAGAGAGAGAGAGAGAGAGAGTGTAACTGGCCAAAAGCTATCCGACAAGTTTCTCCCTCCGTTTTATTCTCTCAACAACCTTGTAAGGTAGATTAGGCTGGGAGTGAGTGTGACTGGCCCACAGTCACCCCCTGAGCTTTATGACCAAGTGGAGACTTGAACCCTAGACATAATCGGGCGCACTAACCACTGCACCACACTGAAATATATATATATATAAATACAAAGGGGAATCCAGGTGGGGGAAGCCAAATAATACATGTTTCATTTAACCATCATGGTTAATAACTATTGATAGACCTGTCTATAATGCCATCCTGGCCTAGCGGCCATCACTATGTCATGCAGCAGTAAGTTCAACGTGTTCATTATGTGTATAATAATTTTACAAGCAGTCTGTAGAATAGACGGTTCCCATTCGGTCTCTGTGTCGGTCATACAGATGAGGCCGGTGGCTCAGTTGGGGGGACGGAGTGTCTTTGCCCCCCGCCTGCCCTTTGTGCAAGGGTCCTTGGTGCCCCGTGTGGCCCCAGAGTCTGCCTTCCCTTATTCATCCATCGCTGAGATGGCTGCTGCAGATGGGCAAACGGAAGAGAGGGGCCGTGGCTCGGTGGTAGAACACCTGCTTGGCATACAGAAGTCCCAGGTTCAATGTTCCCTCTAAGCTGTGGAGTCTTGTGAGCAAAAATTGTACTTTGTGAGCTACTGGGATGAAAGTTGTGAGCGAGCCGTTTTGCGCCTGCATAAATCAGTTTGCTTTGGAGCCCTCCTTCCTGAGCTGAGACAAAAATGTGTGAGCCGGAGACGAAAAAACTGTGAGCTAGCTCACACTAACTCAGCTTAGAGGGAACACTGCCCAGGTTGAATCTCCACCTTTCCCAGTTAAAACAGGTGATGGGAAAGACCTCTGCCTGAGACGTTCTGGGTAGACAAGACTGTGCTTGATGGACTTAGAGTCTGATTCGCTATGAGGGGGCTTTATGCGTTCACGGAATGGGACCGGGCTGTCTCCTCCTGCCCCAGGTATGTGGGGGCCAGCTGTGGCTCTGTAGCAGCACATCTGCTTTGTGGGAGGAAGGCTTCTTTGCATCCGAGATGGTTGAACTATTGAAACCTGATTGGATCTGGTGCCTCGTAGACAGGATGGAGGGGTAAGGCCTCACAACAGCAAGAACCCTGTGAGGTAGGTTAGGTAAAGAGAGAGCGATTGGCTGAAGGTCACCTCAGCAAGCCTTTGTGGCGGGGGGAGGGGGGATTTGAAGCTGGGTCTCCCCGAGCCTCTTCTTGACCCTCAAATCTCGTTTATCTCAGGGCTCCCCTTTTCGGATTGCTGCCACTGACAGCCACAGCCAGGATTAGCGCTGTAAATGCTGAAAGGATGCTGGCATTCAGTGGGCGGCGGCGGCGGGGTGTGTGTGTACCACTGCCCATTTCCTAGGCCCCTGGATTGTGAGCTTGTGGGAAATAATGGGAGGTGTCCTTTTCATCGTATGGAATCAGCACAGCAAAAGTCTGCTAGCCCTCCTGCGTCCACGTTTCTCCAGGCAGGACTGCTCTGTGCTTAAGTACGTTTCCCTAAAATACAGCTGTGAGAGCCTCAAGAGCCACAGGCCATTCTTATGCCTTCGTATCTCACTGACCAGAATAAAACATTGACCCTTCTTCCTTTAACGGCTCCGGCTGCTGCTATGGAAAACGGCCCTGTGGAAGTTCGGAACGGGAAAAGACAGAAGAGTGTTCAACGAACTGAGCAGTGTAAAAATAGCAGTTGTCTCTAGAAACCTGCTTTTTGCACACCGGTGGGCTCTTTGTTTCTTAAGAATGTAAGAAGAACCTCACGGGATCACACCAGTGGTCCATCCAGTCCTGTTTCCAGTTGCTCTAGAGGGTCCATAAATAGGGCAATAGCCAGTTTGGTGTAGTGGTTAAGTGTGCGGACTCTAATCTGGGAGAACCGGGTTTGATTCCCCACTCCTCCACTTGCAGCTGCTGATGTGACCTTGGGCAAGCCATAGTTCTGATAAGAGCTGTCCTTGAAAAAGAGCAGTTTGTGTCAGAGCTCTCTCAGCCCCATCCACCTCACAGGGTGTCTGTTGTGGGGAGGGGAAGGGAGAGGAGTTTGTAAGCCGCTCTGAGACTCCCAAGTGAAGGGCGGGGTATAAATCCAATCTCTTCTTCTTCAAAGAGGTCTTTCCCTGCTGTTGACTCCTAGCATTGGTGGTCAAAGGTTCCCTTGGGTCACCGTGGCCAGTAGCCATTGGCAGACTGACCTGCCCATGCATCTGTCCAGCTCTCCTTGAAAGCGTCTGTTTCCTGTCGCCCAGTGCTTTGTGGGTCCCAAACAGCTGTTTGTGTTTGCATTTCTCTCCTGGCTCGACAGATGTCTGAGGCATTGTCAATTGACTGCATTTGCTTTCTCCCTTGTGGTTTTGAACTCTGCCATCGTTACCAGTTCCGGGTGGCGCTTGGGGCTCCGCTTCCATTTCAAGGACTCAGTCCACGGACCTCCTGTCTTGCGCGTCAGATATCATGATTGCTTAGCCCTCCTTTGAGAAGCATGGAAAGGGGTCCTCGAAGGACCGCCGCCTCCTGTTCTGTCCAGCCCAGCCTGATCTCAGTGCCCCCTGCCAGGTGCTGACCAGAGACAGGGGCCTTTTCAGTGGTGGCACCTTGCCTTTAGAATGCCATCCCACTTGAGGCACTAAACTGGAACATCTCTTTTTGCCAGGTTTTTATTTTATTTAGGAGCTGCGGTGGCTCAAGTGGTTAAAATGCTGAACTGCAGGCTGTGGAAGGTCAGTAGTTCAGCAGTTCGAGACCCGAGTGTGCCGCATGATGGAGTGAGCTCCCATCTCTAGTTCCAGCTCCTGCCAACCTAGCAGTTCGAAAGCAAGAAATTGCAAGTAGATAAATAGGGACCACTTCAGTGGGAAGGTAACATCGTTCCGTGCGCCTTGGTGTTTAGTCATGCTGGCCACGTGACCACGGAAACGTCTTCGGACAGCGCTGGCTCTTCGGCTTTGAAACGGAGAGGAGCACCGCAACCCTAGAGTCGGATTCGACTGGCTTTCGAGCAAGGGAACCTTTACCTTTTTATTTTATTTTATTGGACAAATATGGAGACAAGGCAGGGGGCCAAAGCAGAGATTTGTTTATTACTACAGAGTAGCTCCTTTGAAAGATTTCTTAAAAAAAAAATACAGATAAGCAGAGCGGTAAGTGTTGGGGTGTGTGCTCTTAAATCTATTGTAATAATGCACTACAATCAAAATGGTGACTCAGTTTACAGTTCTCGATGAAAAGCGAGTTCCCCCTCTGCCAGCCTTCTTGACAGTTCCTTGTGACTGGCAGGCCATTTGAGATGAGAAGGGTATGCCCTTCAGTAAAGGAAACCCTTTGCATCCACACCACTGAGCTATTCACAACCATCTCTCCCCCCCCCCACCCTATACTTACAGTGTGCCTTTTCTCTCTCAGCCACATAGAGGACCTTCTGTAGCCATCCAGAGATCAAAGGAGGCGTTCAGTGCCTGGCTGAGAGACTGCTTGAAATAAAGAGCTTTCCTTAATCAAGCTGTTTGTTGGTCTCTGGGCTCGTTTGGGGAAGAAATCGGTAGATAAGACTCTTGGTTGTGTGATGAGTCATCCCTTGAATTACCTCCCAATATATCCTCAATTATGCTAGAACTCAAGAAATATATTAACCAGGCTCGCTTGCCACGTTGCCACTCCTTGCGCTCAGGGGGACCAATGATGCATTTAGCACATGCGCTCCTAAGCCTGGAAAACAGTTGTGCGAGTCAGCCGTCATTCTGCGTGATGCTGGGACTAGATCAGCTAATTTAGCAACAGATGCCACCTCATTTCGGCTTCTTGCAGCATCCTCGCTCGTACCAAAGCTGAGAGCGGCAAGCGATGAAGCAGCCTTACTGCGCATGTGTGAATCCCAGAGGCCTAGGGGTGCCGCCAAATGTTGCAGCCCCACTGTTTTGGCACAGAGGTTCAGTTCATGCAGCACACAGCAGCACGATTTAGATTAGCTGTTGGTTAGTTTATGAAACCCGGGTTCAGCTCACAGCCAGTCACTCAAATCCTAGGTTGCCTTGACAAATACGAGTGTCATTTTCTTCACTCTGTGGTGTTTGAGAGCATTGCCAAAGAATGAGGCAGGGTTAAAACAGAATTAAGCCAGTATGCCACATTCAGACAATGACATGAAACCATTGCTATGATTAAGTGTGTTTAGTAAACCAATCAGATGTGGGTCCGATGCATACAATCACACTAACCATAGTTTAATTAAGCCCTGGTTCCATGTACTGCTTGTACTGAGCCATTAAATCTGGACTTCGTTTTCCTGTTGGCAAATCAAGTGTTCATTTTTGTGCCATTTATTTTGCTGTGCTGAGGTTCCCCCATTATATCTTCCCCATTGCTAATGTTGTGTTTGTATCTATGCCATAAAAAGGTGTCAAACTAACAGATTGGGAACTGCATTCAAGGCAAATGAATGGAATGAAAGGCTCAGAAAGGCACACAAAAGCAACAGGGGGAAAATCATTCCTATCTATGCCACCTGTTCCTCTATTGATGGAGCATATGCTTTGCTTGGAGAAGGACTAAGGTTTCCACGGGGAGTGTGGGTCACGCTTTTGTCAACAGTCACGAGAGCTAGAAACTTGATTTTTTTAAGCAAAAAGGATTAAAGCCAAATCTTGTGCCAGCTACAGTACTGAACGGGTACATGAAAACCTCTGATGTCTAAGTCATTGTATGACAGTTCTAGCCTCCTTCCCAACATGGGGGGAATGCCCACAGCTCAGTGGGGGAGAGCACAAAGAAGCAGAAGGCCCCAGGCTTAATCCCCCACATCTCCAGCAGCAGCTACCCAAACCCCTTGCTGTATGCAACTCTGGGGAACTGCTGCTGATCAG